GTGCTGGGATTACAGGCGTGCGCCACCATGCCCGGCTAAACATACTCTTTAACAATCAATGGGGACTTCCTGGCCAGCCCCGGAAACCAGCGGCCCTGGGAAGGGGTGGGGGACATAGCGGCGGCGGCAGCCCCAGCCCTCCCAGAGACCGCGGGAAGGGAGGGCGGGCGGGAGGGTGCCGCGGGGACGGACCCCCGCCGTTCCGACCGCTGTGGGCCTAGCCTCCCGCTCCCACCTCCCTTCCATCGGCCGGGGCTAGGATACCCCCAAATCCTGTCGCCCCCTTGGCACCGACACCCCGACAGAGACAAAGACACAGCCTGCCGCCACCGCCCGCTGCCGCAGCCTGGCTGGGGAGGGGCCCGGCCCCCCAAGCCCCCACCCCTCTGAGGTGGCCAGGATGGAGCGCACCAGGGGCATGGACGGTGCTGCTGCTGCTGCTCTTGCTGCCCACCCTGTGGTTCTGCGCCCCCAGTGCCAAGTACTTCTTCAAGATGGCCTTTTACAACGGCTGGATCCTCTTCCTGGCCGTGCTCGCCATCCGTGTGTGCGCCGAGCGAGGACGCAACGTTGAGAACGTGAAGATCTTGCATCTAATGCTGCTCCACGTCAAATATGGGATCCGAGGAGAGGTGCGAGGGACTCAACACTTCCCTCCCTCGCAGCCCTATGTTGTGGTCTCCAACCACCAGAGCTCCCTCGACCTGCTCGGGATGCTGGAGGTCCTGCCAGGCCGCTGCGTGCCCATCGCCAAGCGCGAGCTGCTGTGGGCGGGCCCCGCCGGGCTGGCCTGCTGGCTGACACTGACGCCATCAGTGTCATGTCTGAGGTTGCCCAGACCCTGCTTACCCACGACGTGAGAGTTTGGGTTTTTCCTGAAGGAACGAGAAACCACAATGGCTCCATGCTGCCCTTCAAACGCGGCGCCTTCCACCTCGCAGGGCAGGCCCAGGTTCCCTCCGTGCCCATCCTCACGTCCTCCTACCGCGACTTCTACTGCAAGAAAGAGCGCCGCTTCAGCTCAGGGCGGTGTCAGGTGCGGGTGCTGCCCCCAGTGCCCACAGAAGGGCTGGCACCGGATGACGTCCCCGCTCTGGCTGACAGAGTCCGGCACTCCATGCTCACCGTCTTCCGGGAAATCTCCACCGATGGCCGGGGAGGTGGCGACTGTCTGAAGAAGCCCCGGGGGTTGGGCGAGGCCCAGCTCTGAGCTCCCCATGCATCTGTCCCCCTCTTCCTCCTCACACCCACAGACCCGGTGGCCCTGAGGAGGTCACCCCCTCCTCCACTCATTCTCCCCCTCCTCTCTTTCAGTCTTCAACTTCCGAGTGAACGTGGACACGAGGGACTTCCTCCCTGCCCCCGCCGCTGCCCCAGGGACTCTCCTGCCTTGCACAGTGTCCGCTCAGCCCCTCTCCCGCCGTCTTGTCTGTGACGTTGCCTCCCCCTCACTTGAGTGGCTCTTCTGACACGAGAGTGGAGGACGTCCCATCTCTTCCCATCCCCGGTGGACTCTCCCTTTGCGTTCTCTCCCTTTCCACTCCACGTTGGCCAGTGGACTCACTCCTGTGGAACAATCCACCCCTTTCCCCCAAGTCCACGGATTCAGTAGACTCATCCATTTGGGAGGAGGACGTCTTGCCCTGTGGCTGGAAGCTGATACCAGGAACACAGCACCCAGGATCCTCCTGGGAACCTGCCTCAGCACCTTCACACTCCCTGCCACTGGAGCCCTCGCCAGTGGGGTGCACTCTTCTAACTCAGAGGTCTCATCCCTGCCCTTGCCCAGGCACCCAGGGTCGAGCACACTCCTGGCTGCCAGTTGGGTCTCCAAGTTCCTGCTTCCTGGGTCCTGTGGTACAATTCTTCAGCGGTCCGGACCCACCCAGCCCCCGGCACCATCCTAACCAGACCGTGGGGGAGGAG